TCCTGCTCCGGAGGTCTCCCGTCTCCAGATGCGCTCTGGGGCCTCTGGGCTCCTCGAGAGGCCCAAGAACGGCCAGCAAACCCGTCTGAACGTCTCGATCCTCGAACCTCCCCTCCCACTCCCTGCCCCTTCGACCGGAGGAAGAGGAAGTGGGATAAGCAGGACAGCGAAGGGCGCAGGACGGAGGAGGAGGAGGAGGAGGAGGAGGAGGAGGAGGAGGATCAGGAGGAGGAGGAGGACGGGAGAGGAGGAGGAGGAGGAGGAGGAGGAGGAGGAGGAGGAGGAGGAGGAGAGACAGTGAGAGCCTTCTCCCCTTCCTCCCGAAACTCCACCCTCCCTTGTGTCATCACTCCCCTGCCACCTTTCCCTCCCCCCTTCCGCGCACTCCCGGCCTCCCCCGCCCCTCTTCTCCCCAGATTGCGCCCCCTTCGCCTCTCGCCCGTTATCCTCCCCCCTCCTCCAATGTCGGCTGTGCGCCCAGGCGGAGGAAGACAGCGGGGGCGGGCCTTCTCCCCAGACCCCCGACGTCCCCCGTCCCCCTCTCCTCCTTCCCCCGTCCCATCCTCCGCCCTATTTCTTTACTCCACTCGTCGCCATTCCTCCCCGTCACCTGCTCTGCTTCTTCTTCTCCTCCTCCTTCTTATGATTATTGCTAGTGTGTCCTAATTGTTCTTATGATCAAAGTAATGGTTCTTAGTATGTCCCTTATTATTACTCTTCTTTTTCTTCTTCTTAATATGATGTTTCTTATTAGTATTATTATTATTATTCTTATTAGTCTCCTCCTTCTTATGATTATTGATATTGTTCCGCCTTCGCCCCCGCCTCCTCCTCCTCCTCCTCCTCCTCCCCAGGGCCCCAGACCCCCCGACGCCTTGACTCTCTTCCTGACGTCGACCCCCGCGGGTCTCGACCCCTTTGCCGGGGTCCGTCTCTCGTCCCGGGCCGTTTTTTTTTTTTTTTTTTTTTTTTTTTTTTTTTTTTTTTTTTTTTTTTTTTTTTTTTTTTTTTTTTTTTTTTTTTTTTTTTTTTTTTTATCCTCGGTCCCGAGGCACCAAAACGGCCCCCAGAGGCCGAAAATAACGAGAAGCCCTCCGTTCGTGATCTTGTCCTGGTTCGAGGGGGACCCGGGCAGGAGGCCCAGAGGGGCCACTGGCCATCCGAGCAGCCCTCCGAGCCACTGTCCGAAGCAAAGGGGCTTCTGAGAAGGCCCGCCCCCTCTCACTTCTCCCCCTCGGCGTGCCGCCAGTGCTGCTGCTGCTGCTGCTGCTCCTCCTCCTCCTTCTCCTCCTCCTCCACCTCCTCCTCCTGCTCCTCCTCCTCCTCCTCCTCCTCCTCCTCTTCCTCCTCCTCCTCCTCCTCCTCCTCTGTCCTCCTCCTCCTCTCCTCCTCCTCTCCTCTCCCTCCACCTCTCCTCGCCCCCCTCTTACTGTCTCCTCCTCCTCCTCCTTTCTCCTCCTCCTCCTCCTCCTCCCGCTTCTCCTCCTCCTCCTCCTCCTCCTCCTCCTCCTCCTCCTCCTCCTCCTCCTCCTCCTCCTCCCCCTTTACGGCGGCATCTACCACGTCCACTTTTACGCCGACCTCTTAGACTCCGCCCTCGTCGGCCTGGAGTTGTTCGAGAGCCTGGGTTGCTCAGCGCTCCGCGCTCACGCGCCCGCATCGTCCGTAGGCGATGTCGAACCGCCTCCAGGGACGCACGCTCCTCCCTTTCCTCCTTCCCCTCCTCCCTTTCCTCCTCCTCCTCCTCCTCCTCCTCCTCCTCCTCTCCCCCTCCTCCTGCTTACCCTTCTCCTCCTCCTCCTCCTCCTCCTCCTCCTCCTCCTCCTTCCCCTTCTCCCCCTCCTCCTCCTTACCCTTCTCCTCCTCCTCCTCCTCCTCCTCCTCCTCCTCCTCCTCCTTACCCTTCTCCCCCCTCCTCCTCCCTTCGCCTCGCCTCACTCCCCCTGCACTTCATCCCACTGGCGTGGCAGCGCATGTCCGTGCCACGCGAGCCCGCCGTGGCCAACGTGCCGCGACGGGCCGAGCGCGCGCGGCGCTGGCCGCCGGCGCGCGCGCGCGCCGCGCGCCTTCGAGGTTCCGCCCCCGAGCTTGAACGCCTGAAGCGGGCACGGGTCGACTAGACGTAAGAGTGACCTTTCGCCGGAGTGACCTTTGGTGCGGGCACAGATGGGCCCCAAGATGGCTGAAAACGAAGCAGGAGCAGCGGCTTGCGCGCCCAGGTTTGGTCCCCCCGCGGCCCCCAAAAGCCGCGCACCAAAGGTCACTCTCACCCAGGGTCACTCTAGCGTGTAGCAGCCGAACGGGAGAAATCGGTACACGCCGGTCATGAAAAGTAGATAGTCTGGTGTACAGCTGTGTTCCAGAGCTCGGACCTCTCTGTGTTCTCGTCGGCGTCGTTCGTTTTCGTCGCTCGTCGTTCGTCCCCCCCCCACCTCCAGCCTCCCTGACCTCCCCGCCAGTCCTGGCCCCAGGCCTCGCCCCCCTGGCCTCCCTGCCCCCCTCCCCCCCCCCAGCTCCTTTGCGCAAGAGCCAGGGCACGCGCGCCACTTGTTTCTGGATTCCCAGATCCCAATATATTCCAGGCGCCTTCCTACTTCAAAAGCCGATCTGCTTTTGCTGTTTTTTTTTGCAATGGTCTGGGAGGGCCGGCGCCCAAATCAATGTATCCGCCTTACTGCTTCATGGTTTTTACTTGCTTCTTACGACCGCCGGGTGCGATGCCCAACAGCGGATGCTGTCCAAGACCGGCAGCGGCCGCTTCTGGGCAGGCGGCCCTGTGTGTCAGAGGGGCAACGCCCCCCGGCGACTCCGACAGCGAGCCCTGCTCAGAATCTGAGCAGGACATGGTGTCCCTCCTCCTCCTCCTCCTCCGCCTCCTCCTCCTCCTCCTCCTCCTCCTCCTCCTCCTGCTCCTGCTCCTGCTCCTGCTCCTGCTCCTTCGCCCCTTCGTCCTCCTCATCATCCTGGCTCCCTCCCTCCTCCCTCCTCCCTTCTCCCTCCTCCCCCCTCCCTCGCTTAGCTCGAGGCTCGGGCCCCCGACCCCCCCCCCGACCGCTTCCCGCGCCGGGCGCCCCGTTCCGGGTCGTCTGTCTGGACGGCCCGGTGGCCAGGCGAGGCCCCACAGAGAAGGGCCGAAGACGACACCCAGACCCCCTCGAGTAATGAAAAAATCACGACGGGAGGTTTTTCCTAACTTTCGGCCTCCGGGGGCCCTCACCGGGCCTCGGGAGCGTCAAAAAACGACTCAGGATGCAAAGCCGGTCATGGGGAAAGGGTCGGGACCTCGGGGGGTCGACGTCATGAAAAAATCATTACGTCGGGGGTCTGGGCACAGAGCTTCCGCCTCGGTGTTGTCGAGACGCCCGCTGTCCGGGAGCATCGGCGTCCCCCAGCATACTTCCATTGTGTGTGCGTCGCCCCCCCATGGGGCGACGAGGGCACCGAGAAACCTTCTGGTGTGGGCGTCGTGGCGGGCGCTTTCTGGCCACGCCGCCCGGGGGAACGATAGAATCACCGCAAGATGGGGGATATAATGCTCCATGTTCGGGCCGGGCGCGTGCCTCCAGGGCGGACATCCAGTATCAGCATGTCTCCGTGCGCCCCAGAGTATGATTAGGGGAACAAAAAGTGACATAAGCATCAAAACTCGGAGGTCCGCGCGGATCTCTCGGATCCGCGCTGGACCCCCCTCCCTGGCGCGCGGAGCGCGCCAGGGGCGGCGCCGGAGGTGCCGCCAGGGGGGTCCCGCGCGGATCCGAGAAATCCGCGCGGACCTCCGAGTTGTGATGTTCATGCCTTTTTTCTGTCCCCCTAATGACCCAGACCCCCCACGTAATGATTTTTTCATGACGTCGACCCCCCGAGGTCCCGACCCTTTCCCCCTGACCGGCTTTGCATCCTGAGTCGTTTTTTGACGCTCCCGAGGCCCGGTGAGGGCCCCCGGAGGCCGAAAGTTAGGGAAAACCTCCCGTCGTGATTTTTTCATTACTCGAGGGGGTCTGGGGATGCGGGTCTTTGTGCCCGCTTCCGGCGTGCCGGGCTGGGTCGCCCCGACCGACGCAGGCGGGCCCCCCCCCCTCTCGCGCGGGACGGCGCCGCTGTGCCCGGCCTGCGCCCGCTGTGCGCGGCGGCCGGGCGGGCTCCTGGCGCTCCGAGCGCCGAGCAGTGGCGACGCGCTCCTGGCGTGCCTCCCAGACCCCCTCGAGTAATGAAAAAATCACGACGGGAGGTTTTTCCTAATTTTCGGCCTCCGGGGGCCCTCACCGGGCCTCGGGAGCGTCAAAAAACGACTCAGGATGCAAAGCCGGTCATGGGGAAAGGGTCGGGACCTCGGGGGGTCGACGTCATGAAAAAATCATTACGTCGGGGGTCTGGGCTCCCAGAGGTCCAACGCATTGGACAACAAAAACAAGACGGAGGTTTTGTCGCTGTCTTGGGCCTCTCGGGGCCCCCGCCGGACCCCAGGGCTGTCCACAAACATCGACTCAGGATGAGAGACCGGTCCCGGGGAAAGGGTCGAGACTGTCGGGGAAGCCGTATCGGAAAAGTCATGGCGTCGGACCTCTGGGCTACAGGCCCACTCAACACTGTTCCAAGAGCCTTTTTGTGGTTTCCAGGAAATGCTCTGAGAGCATTTCTGGCTGGGACTGTCTTGTCTTCACACAGCGGACTCACGTACTAAGAACATTCTTTCTGTTCTTAGAACATCGGATCTACGTTCAAAGAACCATGTTTTTGTTCTCAGAAAAAAATTGGGTTCTACGAGCATGTCGTGGTAGGCCTATAGGAATGCCGGGACGGTCGGTCCCTGCTCAAGAACGCGGCGCCCCCCCCCCGCAAAGCGGGGGTTGGTGGGGAGATCGAGGGCAGGGGGAAGGAGCTCAGAGGAGGAAAAATCCCCCACCCCCTCGCGTCGTGAAAAGAGCACGACGGGAGGCCTTTCGCTGTTTTCGGCCTTCGGGGGCCTTCGCCCGGCCTCGGGACCGTCAAGAAACGACTCAGGATGAAAGGAACGGGTCCCAGGGAAGGAGTCGAGACCTGTGGGGGTCGACGTTGTGAAACAATCACGACGTCAGGTGTCTGGGTTACCCAGACATCCGACGTGCCGATTTTTTCCGAGACACGGGCCCCCGACCCCCCGACCACTTCCCCGGGACAGGCTTTTCATCCCGAGTCGTTTTTGGACGGTCCCGGGCCGCAGACGACGAAAAATTGCCGTCTCAATTCTTTCGAGACGCCCGATGTCTGGGTAGAGGAGGAAAAATCCCTACCGCTACCCGTTATCCTCCCATCATTTTCACACCTTTTTGGGCCTCTTGGGGGAGGACACTCGTCGCCACCGCCGGATTCGCTTCGGAACCTCGTCAGGAGCGACAGAAGGACGTACATGTACATGAATCCACGCTGGTTTCGAGAGTACGCATTGCGCAAATGCTCGTATAGCGCGGCCAGTCTCACGGATCGAGGGGCCGTGTTTACGTACATAGCTGGGCGCATACGTCCTTTGTGGGCTCCCTATCTTGCTCAGGGCACACCCCGGGGGGGGGCCGGGGCGTGGCGGCGTCGCGGTACTTTTTTGTCTCCCCTGCAGGGGCAGGGTCGGGTCATGTGCAGGGCAGTCCGCGAGAGCTCCTCGGGGACGGGGCAGCCAGGGGGTGAAGCACGCGTAGAGCCAGCATAGCAGAAGCAGGGGCTCGGAGGGGGAAGAGGAGGAGGAGGAGGAGGAGGAGGAGGAGGAGGAGGAGGAGGAGGAGGAGGAGGGGGAGGAGGAGGAGGAGGAGGAGGGGCTCGGAGGGGGAAGGGGGTGCCGGTGCTGCTGCCCCCACTTCCTCGGGTCGTGCAGCAGCTCGCGGTCAGAACTGCTCCAGATTTCGTAATAAAGGGAGGGGGGTCTCATTTCGGGGGGGGTCTCTTCCAAGCTATCTTGGAGGGCCTGGGGGGGTCTGGGGACGATGTTTTGGAGGGTTCTCCCACGGGGGGGGGTCTGAAATGGCTTGTCTTGGAGGGTCCAGACCCTCTCCCTCTTATTACGAACTCTGGAGTACTCAGGATGAAAAGCCGGTCCTGTGGGGAAGGGGCTCAGAGCTCCGGGGATCCACGTGGTGACAAAAGCCACGACGTCGGAGAAGGTACCGATGCCATTGCCTCGTTTTTTTTGGGGGGGGGGGGGGCGGCCTCCTGGGAGGCCCGCGTCGCCGTCGCTGGATCCAGCTCGAAATCCCGGTCAGAACGCATCCCGGAAGAGATCTGGAGAGTAGGGGTATCTGTTTTTGTTTTGCCCCCCCAGGAGGAGGGGGATGAAAAAGGAGGAGGAGGAGGAGGAGGAGGAGGAGGAGGAGGAGGAGGAGGAGGAGGAGGAGTCTCCCCCTCCTGCGCCGTCTCCGTCTACGCCTCGCCTCGCCCTTGGCCGCATGATCTCCGTCTCCGCTTCAGATCCCCCTCCCCTCCCCCGCCTCAGCTTGGTTCTCGATATCCTCCCTCCTGCGCTGTTCAGGCGCTGTTCGTCGTCATCGAGGTCAATAAATTGTTAAAGATGCCAGCAACGGGCAGAAGCAACTGGGGAGTGGGCGCAGAGTGCTGGCCCACCCTCGGTTATTGTGCGTTCTGACCCCTTGCTGAGCCACTCTCCGCTCCCTCTCGTCCCCTTCCCCATCCACCAGGGAGGCGCGTGCAGCCGCTGGGGCCGCGGGCTGCCTCGCTGGGCTGGGGTCCCGGGGAGAAGATCCTCCACGAGCGTCCTCGTGCAGTCGCGCCCTTGTGGGCGACCCTTCGGCCTGGGCTGAGTCGCTGGCGGCGCCACGGGGCCTCCTAAAAGAGTTGCGGTGCGTTCGCCTGCCCGCCGGCGAACGCCAAGCATTTCGACATGCGGGCGCCGCGTCAAGGAAATAAGGAGAAGGATGAGGATGACGACGAGGAGGAGGAGGAGGAGGAGGAGGAGGAGGAGGGAGAGGAGGAGGAGGCGGAGGAGGGGGAGGAAGAGGAGGAGGAGGAGGAGGAGGAAACACGTGGGGGGATGAAGACGATAAGAAGGAGGGAGGATGGGACGGATGAGGATGAGGATGAGGATGATGATGATGATGCTGATGATGATGATGTGCTGATGTGCTGCTGCTGCTGCTGCTGATGATGATGATGTTGATGATGAGGAGGGAGGAGGAGGAGGAGGAGGAGGAGGAGGAGTAGGCGGGGGAGGAGGAGGAGGAGGAGGAGGAGGAGGAGGGAGGAAGACGTTGAGGAGGACGAGGGATGATGGTGGATGCGGATGGAAAGGAAGGTCAGGGCGAGGAAGAAGGATGACGAGGAGGAGGAGGAGGAGGTTGAGGAGAAGGAGGAGGAGGAGGAGGAGGAGGAGGAGGACGGAGAGGAGGAGGAGGCGGAGGAGGAGGAGGAAGAGGAGGAGGACGAACACGGGGGGGGGATGAAGACGATAAGAAGGAGGAGGGATGGGGACGGATGAGGAGGAGGAGGAGGAGAAGGAGGAGGAGGAGGGATGAAGATGTTGAGGAGGACGAGAGATGGTGATGGATGTGGCTGGAAAGGATGGTAGGGCGAGGAAGAAGGATGAGCGAACAGGATTCGACGAAGAGAATAGGGACTCTTGAATTGCAGCGGGATTGTGCGAACTTGCATGCAGGGAGGAAAGACGCTGGAGAAGGAGGATGAAGAGGAGGAGGAGAGGGAGTGGCACTGATGGGGAGTGCGCGGATGAGGAAAGACGGGGAATATAAAGAGGAGGAGGAGGAGGAGGAGGAGGAGGAGGAGGAGGAGAAGGAGGAGGAGGAGGGGGAGGAGGAAGAGAAGGAAGGATTCACATGCCGTCATGGCCTTCTTGGCGCAGGGCGCAGGGTGAGGCAGCACGAGGAGGACGACAACGAGGAGGACGGAAGGCAGAGGAGGGGAAGGAGGGAGGATGGAGGATTAAGGCGCGCCCCTGTGATGTTTGATTCTGGCTTTCGTGGCCACCTGTAGGCCCCTCTGGGACTCCAGAGGCCCTCCAGGGGCCTTCGGGGGGCCTCCAGGAGACGGGGCGGGAGAGTGGGGGCAGGAGAAAGGCAGTACACGCATTCGCCTGGGAGTTCCGCCGCAGGCGTAGACCATCGCCGCTTCTGGCCGATGCATCGGCGATGCATCGCCAAGACATCGGCGGTGCGGCGAGATCCTCTTCCCCCATGGTAGCGTCCAAAGCCCGGAGAGCAAAGAGGCACTCACACCGGAAAGCTTTCCTGATGAACTGAAACGCTCCGGGGAGCTCTCCTGAAGCGCTTCTGAAGCGCTGCCAGGCACGCTTCCACGCGTGCCTGCACGCGTGCAGGCACGCGTGGACGCGTGCCGGAAGCGCTCCCGGACACGCTGCGAACTCACACAGGTTTCTGCGGGGATTCTGGACCGGCGAACATGTCCTCGGACCCCATCTGGGAGGCCTCCCCAGACCCCGACGTAATGATTTTTTCATGACGTCGACCCCCCGAGGTCCCGACCCTTTCCCCATGACCGGCTTTGCATCCTGAGTCGTTTTTTGACGCTCCCGAGGCCCAGTGAGGGCCCCCGGAGGCCGAAAATTAGGAAAAACCTCCCGTCGCGATTTTTTCATTACTCGAGGGGGTCTGGGTCTGGAGGACGTCTCGGGCGACCGGGGCCTCCGAGAAGGCCCAGGGCCGCGCGCCGGCGGGCGACCGCGCGGGGAGGTCTCGTGGGATTCCTGCTCGAGGCCCCCGCGCGGTCCGTGGCCACACGGGCCTGGGGCCCCCAGAGAGGAGGAGGAGGAGGAGGAGGAGGAGGAGGAGGAGGAGGAGGAGGAGGAGGAAAATGAGGAGCAGCAGAGGAGGAGGAGGAGGAGGAGAGGAGGAGGAGGAGGAGGGAGGAGGAGGAGGAGAGAGGAGGAGGAGGAGAGGAGGAGGAGGAGGAGAGAAAGGAGGAGGAGGAGGAGGAGGGAGGAGGAGGAGGAGAGAAAGGAGGAGTGAGAGAGGGAGGAGGAGGAGGAGGAGGAGGAGGAGGAGGAGGAGGAGGAGGCCAACGCTGGGGCGATAGGACAAAAGGGAGGACGCGTCGAGCCCCATTCGCCCAGCGATGGCCCAAGAGAGCTCAACCCCGGGAGCGCGCGGACGTGCCATCGGGGGCCGGTCGCCGTTGCGGGCGCCCCCTCAGGGCGGGGCGGAGGGAGGAGAGAGGATCGAGGGGGGGGGGGGGGGCGAGGATCGAGGGGAAGGGGGGGCGAGGATCGAGGGGGGGGGGGGGGGGGCGAGGATCGAGGGGAAGGGGGGGCGAGGATCGAGGGGGGGGGGGGGGGGCGAGGATCGGAGGGGAGGGGGGGGGCGAGGATCGAGGGGAAGGGGGGCGAGGATCGAGGGAGGGGGGGGGGGGGGGGCGGAGGGAGGAGAGAGGAGGCCAGACCTAAGTCGGGCCTGTCCCCCTACAGGAGGACATTTTCGACGAAAAATAGGAATACCCCCTAAATAGTCAAACAACAAAGAATCCAAAAATAGTATGGGGACGATGTTTGGAGTATTTGTTGACCTTTTTGGGGCATTTGTGGGGTACTTTTTTTATTTTTGTCGAAAATCCCCCTGTATGGGGGACACGCCCGACAGAAGGCCAGACGGGGGGTGTGAGAAGGGAATTTGGATTGCATGCCGTGGAGCGCTGCCAGTCGAGCTTCTGGAGACACTGCAGACGCAAATATATTATAAATTCAAAAGCTGCCCATTGCCGGTGCTCCCGCAGTCGAGGCACGTCTTCTTTGGGGCGCTTCGCTGGACGAAGGCCTCACCATCGCGTCGCAAGTTTAATGCTGCAAGGGCTGGCGGCCGCCCGCTGGAACCCCAAGCGCTCCTCGACGTGGCACGCCCGGCCGTCTGGCTGTAGTCACGCCTTTTGTCTGAGCCTGGGCAGCTTGTCGCTCCAGCCTCAGTCTTCAACCTTATGCCCTACCGCTCTACTCATCATCATGCTCATCCGCACCCTCATCGTGCTCATCCCCGTCCCCCGTCCCACTCCTCCCTTC